AATTAAACATCCAATATTATAATTTTAGGATTAAACACTAGGGTGTCACATTTTTATTGAGGTACTTGATGTCATAAATGAATGTTCATTTTCACAAAGAAAAGCCTATTGCTTCCTTCTCATTTTTTTGACTTATAGGAAACTAGTAAAGGCTTTTAAAGAACAACTTCCCAGGCAGTTGATGTTTAGAAACTGAGCTTGTAAACAGTGTTCATTGGGATATGGTCCTGGTCTAACCCAATCAGAGGCACATTTCTTAAGTAAAAGATGATTCTCGTGTCCACCTGAGGCCTATTGAATTAGAAGCTCTGGATAGAAAGGTCAAGCATCTCCACTTTAAATATGTTTTCCCAGATGATTCTCAGTATTTGAGATCCATAATTAATCAGTTTCTGAGTTAGAATAAATCAATATTGATGACTGCTAATCAATATCTTTATTAATTAGGATGCTCAGAGAATTAGGAATTTTTGCTAATTTAAATTTTTAGAAAATTCATCCTTGGGGGCCAGAGATGTAGCTCAGTGGCACCGTGCCTGCCTGCCAAGCACAAGGCCCTGAGTTCGATTGCCAGTACTGGAAAAAAAAATTCATCCTTGATAGAATCAGGAGAACTGTCATCTTCAGAGCCTAATCACAAATTCTGATGTTTTCAAGAAAGTGATGTTAAAAATTCATCTTGGGAAGGAAGACTGCGAAAGAGAAGTTGAAAATCCCGTACTTCTACAAAGCAATGAATGGGCCAATGCCAGGAGGGATAACAACCAGGGAGAGGGGGATAGTAAAACTAGGAAAGGAAAACCAGTAAACCAATCAAATTTATAGAAAACTCCTGGTTTATATCACAGACCAAACATGGAGGGGTTGAGAGATTATTTCCACTGTTGAAATGCACACAATGTCTGGAAGAAAATGGTTTCTTCTGCTCAGTATCAAGGTGAGCAGTGGGAGGGAAGCCACACATAAACCCTGAGAAAGTCAGAAGAAAGTCCACTGTGGCTGGAGCTTGAGGGGAAGAGCACAGTGAGCCCTGTGTGAGGCTGGAAAGGTAACAATCTCCCTACCACATCAGACACAAATGGTGGGACTGTTTGAAATCATTCTGGAGTACTGTATCTGGTTTTCTTGCAGGTTGTAGATGTATGTGCAACTAGAGAAATAATCCTTTACTACTATTTTCATGAAATTTATAATGCTTAAGAAAACAAGGATAGTTAATGGTTCCTTTGTTGGAAATCATTCTAAAATGTCATATTCCTGCCATAGTAATTGTGGTAGAGAAAGTAAACCCGCAGTGATAAAGAAGGAGCATTAGACTAGATATTCAAAGCCAGTTTTCAGGGCTGGGGCTCTTCCTCCACTGTGTGACTTTGAGCAAGCTTTAGTTCCCTTTCCCATCTACTGCCTGAGATTCTGCAGTGCTTCAATTTGATAATAAATGAAAGGGCTGTATAAATGTAAGGTGGGCTGATTGTAATTGAATTTGTTGTTGGTTGTGGAGCCATGGTGATTAGCAATCTGTTCTCAAGCAATTTTTCCAGGGGTTGTTCTCAAGCAAGCAGTTGTTCCAGGGTTGTGCTTAAGAGCCTGCAGAACATTAAAAAATTTAAAGTATAGTATACTTGGCCCCTGACTCTGGATGATCTGATGTGGGGGAGAGAGGATATTTACTAAAATATTTAAAATTCTTTTGATGATTCTTAGGAAATCACCAGAGTCTGAAAGGTTGGTGGTGGGTGCACAGAGTCCTGGCAGACGGAGTCTTGGCTCTGACTCTAATAAACATTTATGCTGTGGGAGGAAGCCCAGCAGAGGCTTCTAAAAGCCACTAAATTCTCCATTCTTCCTTTTCTCCATTTTTAAAGTGCAGAGCTGGACTCCCTAGTGAAAATGTACTCTCTTAAAGCCACAGACTCCTTTATTCAACAACCTTTTTTGCTTGGAAATGTTAATATGTAAAACAGAAAAAAAGAGCTGCTCATCAGCTCTCCCAGGGAATTTCAAAAACCATTGGCCACGATACTTGATAACATCCTTTCTAGCACTGAAATTCTATTCAAGACACAAAATGTTTACATAAATTTATACTGACTGTGTTTGGGGGGCTGGAATTAAGACTAGGAGGCAGAATACCTGGACTTTTACCTGTTCACTTGCTCACCTCTTTCCTGATTTTGTCCTGACCTGTTCTGTTTTCCTGATGCCCTTGCCAAATGGCCCCCAGATAGGTTTTGTTAAAAGAATGCACTTGCAGGAGATTGGAGAACAAGAAATAAAAGGGAACTGGTGTATTTAAGTGCTTATATCTCTGCATTGGTTGATAATCTCATTTTACCCACCCTGTGATGGTTTGTTTCAGGGAGAATTTTTTCTACCACCTTAGAGGAATTCTACTCCAAAATATCGCATGGGTACCTGATTCATTATTTTTTTCACCTTGTCTTTTCATCAGGAAATTCAAATGGCACATAGAGTGAGCTGGGTCACCATGTTAATTGAATTCCATGGTAAAGAAATGGAAAATAATTTAAAAGCAAATATATCTATCTATATATTGATATATATACATATATATATCAAGTGAAAACATATATCCACACAAACAATTGCAAACCAATATCCTTAGACATTTTATTCATAATAGCCCCAAATGGAAACTACCTAAAGGTCCATCAGTGGGTGAATGGGTTGACAAAAGCTATATAGATCTATATAACAGAGTCCTACTGAATAATAAAAAAGAAAAAATAACTGTGGATATATGCTACAACATTGGCAAACTCCAAAAACATTATGCTAGATGAAAGGTGCCAGACATGAGATCATATATTATATGGTTTCATTTATTTGACATATCTTCAATAGCAAATGTCTAGATATGTGAAGATACCAAAAGTCTAGATTAGTGGTTGCTTGCAGTATGGTAGGAGTAGGGTAGGGGAATGAGAAATAACCCATAAAATAGGCATGAGGAATTTTATTGGTGTGATGGAAATGTTCTAAAGTTCATTTGTGGTGATGGTTGCCTAACTTGGAAAATGCACTAAGAAATCATTGAATTGTAATATTTGATGTGAATGAATTATATGACACATAAAATATACCTCCATAAAGTCATTTTTAGAAAGAAAAGGAATAATAGGCAGCAACACTGTTATTAATTTCGGTGTTTTTTAGAAACCTGTCAGTTGCTGTATCACTTTGACCTATGGCACCCACATATCTACAGTCTGTTGTTGTCATAGACTTTTATGACAAAAGTGTTGAGAGGGTTGCTGAAGTTTAAATAGGCTATTATACTCTGGTACTCCAATGCAAAAGTACCTCTATCACAAGGAACAATACTAAGGCAGATACACAGACTTGAATACCATATGGTATCTCTCATCTGAGTAAGGCAAAGTACAAACTAACAGAAAAATAAAGGAAGGCTAGAATAAGACAGGGGGAGGCATCTCTTGCAGATGGGAAGGGGTCCAGGGGACCAAGGGTAAGGGGTAAGGTGTAGAGGGTGGGAAAATAGGTAGAGTGAAGATATGCTATGTACAAGGCCCTAATAACCTCAATGAATGTGGACATTATATGCCATAAACATGAACTAAGATTAATAATCCCAACAAGAATGAAAAGGGGGAATTGGGAACTAGAGGAGGAGCAAGGGGGAAGGGAGGGAGGGGATTAAAAAGAAACAAGCTGTATTATGTACGTGTACCTCTCCCCAAGATGATTGTAAAATGCATGTACTGCAAGTGGGTACTAATAAATAATTTTTAAAAGAGGCAGTATGATCTGATGTGGTTCAAGCTCTTAAAAATGTGCACTGATTCTTTAAAAATATAATTTGCTTGAAAGTTCAGGATCTTAAACTTTGACAATTATCTACACTGTAAATGATCCAGGAGCTGGTAGTCTAACAACAATTCTTACCAGAGTATTGGAGTTATATTAACTGGTGCCAGATAGTCTGCACCAGAGGTTTAGAAGAGAATGCTTGCTTTTGTTCTTGGCACCCTGTAGCTGGGAGTCAGGCGATAAACAAATGCTTTCAAAAATAATTTCTGCCCAATATAGGAAGAGTTTTAATACCAAGATCTGAAGAACAAGAGGCCTTGTTTATCTTGCTGTGTTGTGGCAGTAAGGTGCTTGCTGTGAAGGGCTGCTGCTCATAACAATGCTCAATGACTCACATAATAATCTATTGATTTTTCCTACACTGGGTTTGTCATTACCTCCAGTTCAAAGTCCCCTTTGCTGATTTCAGTGTTCACAGATCTCCCATCAAGGGCCAATTGAGTAGCAGACCATGATCTTTGAAATGGCAGAGCTGGGTATTTAGCTTCTTCGTTTTCTTATTCTTTCATGCTTTCTGTCTGGGAGGGAAAAATAATAGGTGTCCACCTTTCTACACCAAAACATGTATCTCAACATGGCTGAAAGAGGGAAGATAACTCTTTCAGCTATAGCTGTCATTAATTGTGGTACCTCAGGAAAATTACTGAAGCTTAGATTTTTCCATTTATAAAACTGAGACTGCTTACAATGCCTATTTCCTGCACAGCAATGTTGTGAAGACAAAATGTAGTAAATGCAATCACTTTCTAAAAATTGTAACTGGTGGAGAGATGCTGAGACATTTTGATTCTTGGCAGAAATCAAGCTGAATTTCACAAGTTTTAGGGGATGGAGGGAGCAAAAAGACTACAGAATTAACCTGAAAAAATTTCAAGAGCTGCATCACTTTCAGATGCTGAAAGCTCTCTACATGGTGCTCCACCCTCTGGCATCTATGCAGCTGATTGGGATAAAGGAGAGACACGGGGAGGTCTCTTGGTAATTGAATCTTAAAACAATAGATGCCACTACATCCCCCTCTAGCCACAAGTTACTCTCTCTAGCAAGAAGATGTCCATCTACAATCAAAATCCTGTCCTCTGTACTCTTCTCCACTGCCTCTCCTCTGCCCTGCCACATCTAATATTCTTTTCATCTCCCCTTAATAGATGCCTAAATGCCTGATGTGTGACAGCAATGCCTGTTCCCATGGTGCTGCTGCTTCTGAGAAAGCGCCAAACAGACAAAGAACAAGGCAGAAACGGCCTCCTCGCTGGGGATGAAAAGAAGCTGCTCTGATGAGGGAATCAGTTTACCGCTTCTGCCGCTAAAATTCTCTTCGTCTGTCTCTGGTTTTCTTTATTATGCACCCCAGAAAAAATCGCTCCCTCCCAAGACAACACACATAATAAAGAAAATATTGACTCTGTAGCCCAATTTTGATAAATGTAACCAAAGTGGAAAGAATGAGCTACACAAGGATTTGGCCTCCTGATTAAGATACTGAGATTTCACCTCCAGTTTTATATTTATGTTGTCTAAATTATACCTTAGAATATTTGCAAAAATATCACTTTCTGTGTATCAGCTGGGGCTTATGTATCACATGCCTAGAGCTGTGTCTGTGTTGGTTTGTCAGAATCGGTGTATTTTTACACAGTGCATGTGTGTGTCTAACACATGTTGTATACTATGGTGGGCACTAAGGAAACAAAGATGACAGCCCCCTCGCCCCCCGCCTTCAAGGAGCTCACACTTTAGAAAGTCAAGCACAGGAATAACTGTGTATCATTCTGTTAAATTATTTAGGAAATACAATAAGAACACATAAAGTAGCAAAGAAGTGTGGAGAACAGAGTTTGAGAGAATGGTAAAGGAGAAAGGACATTTATTCTGGGTTTCAAGGATGAATTGAATTTCAGTTCCTCTCCTTGGATAAGGAGGGGATGAGCATTTTAGCAGAGGTGAACTTAATAAGGACTTCTAGATGTGGAGCTGTGTGGTATGTCCATGAACATGTAAACCTTAAGAGTATTTTACCAAGTGCGGTCACCAGCAACACAATCACAGTGGCTGCTTTTACACAAACCCTTACAGAGACACAGTTAAACTTGAGGATGGAAGAACTATTGTGAACAACTCTGAGATGTCTCTTTTGAGACTCATCAAGACATCAGGAAATTTTGTTTCACACTGGGAGATTTTAATCAAGACCTTCAGTGTAATAGGAGAAGATTCTCTTTGGAGCTGAGAACAGTCTGGAAAACATTTTCCCATTTTCAAATCAGCTCTTTCAACCGACAATAAGAAGACTTACAAAAGTCTTAGTATTTACAGTAAATTTACAATTTGCAGTGAGTTCTGTTTATTCAATAAAGCACATTTGGATCCCAACTGACCAGTCTATCTGGTGGTATATGAGTATATAACCATAGCACAAGCTGAAGTCATAGCTTTATTTCTGTCCTTCTCTGTAGTCAGAGGGTATGCCAGAAAGTGGATGCACACTTGTCTGAGGCACATCTAGACAGGGACTCAATGCTTTAGATGGAGATGGACTCACCTCAGTGGAGAGGAGAAGCCAATGAAAATTGATGCTTCCAGCTAAGAAGGTGGTAACACAAAGCAGAGTCCACAAGAAAGCTAGAATAAGTCAAACTATTGGTAACCACTCAGAACTATGCACTTTCCCATCCTGCCCTCAGAGTAATTTTTCTCTGATTTCAGAGCCATGTTGTAGTCCTAGCTTCCTGTCATCCAAATAATTGCACAAACACCTGCAATTAAATTACTGGTTTATAAAACAATTCACTCACAGTGTTGAATTAATGTTTTTCAACAAAATCCTTTTCTCTCCCTCTGAGGCAACATTTCTCATTTAGTGGCCAATGGAATTCTTCATCAGATTTAGCTAAGCTTGTTAAAATGCAGAGGCCTGAGTGCTCCACAGGTCTTCTAAATCAGACCCTCTGATGTTAAACCCAAGAATTCAGTTCTCCACCTTGCATAAAGCTGCTGCCATCAGTGAACAGGGTAGCATCTGGTTGAAGCATTGGCTCTTCGGTGAGGTCAGGTTGGCTGGAGAATAGCTTCTCAGTGACTTCTTCACAGTCATGGTCCGGTTGGCCCTCTTCAACAGGCAGAAAAGTGGGTGGGTTTAAAGTCTGCACAGTTTTCAGGGTGACTCTGGGATTTTCACAGAGTAGCCCCTGATATTGGGCCATTTGAAAGCCCTTTATGTCCTCGATTGTTCATTAGAGTCCTAACCAAATGGGGGACTTTTGCTTGAAGGTTTTGTCCCAAGGTCAATTTGTTTACCTCCTTGATGAAAGTAATAGCTGCCACCAAAGCATGGAGGCAGGGGGGCCATCTGGCCACCACAGTGTCCAATTGTTTGGACAAGTAGGTCACTGGCTTCTGCCAGGGCCCTGCAGTTTGAGTCAAGACTCCCAGGGCTACATGATTTTTTTCATGAACAGAGATTGAATTCTCATCTTACATCTGGTAACCCCCAGGCAGGGATGCTGATGAGTAGCCGTTTAATCTTCTTAAAAGCAGATTCCTATCGAGCATCCCACTTTAGGGGCTGGTTTTTTGGTCCAATGAGGACAGTACATAGGGGTTTGGCTTTCTCAGCAAACCCAGGTATCCAAATCCTGCAGAATCCAGCCATTCCCAGAAACCCATGAAGTTTCTTTCGGTTGGTTGGCCTGAGGAGGGAGCAGATGATGTGTTTTCTCTTAGGCTCCAGGGATCGTGTCTTTTGGTGATGATGAATCCCAGGTACCAAGCAGATGGTCAACATATCTGGGCCTTTTTCTATGAATTTGTATCCAGCATCTAGAAGCAATTGGAGGAGGGCTGAAGTTCCTTGCCGGAAGTCTTCCTTGGTTTTACTTGCCAACAGGAGGTCACCTGCATATTGTAGCAGAGTGCAGTTCAGTCTTTCCCCAGGGAAAGTAGCCAGGTCAACAGCTAGAGCATCCCTGAATAGTGTGGGGGAATTTTTTAATCCTTGAGGAAGTCTTATTCAGGTCTTTTGCTCTGTATCGGGGTCTTCCCATTCAAAAGTGAAGAGCAGCTGGGTTGGGTGGGTAGCCAAAAGCAGATAAAGGCATCTTTAAGATCCAGGGAGGTGAACCAGGCCACTTGAGGTGGGAGCAGATTCAGCAGGGTGTAGGGGTTTGGAACTACTGGATGCAGAGTAACTGTGGCATTGTTGATTACCTGGAGATTCTGTACCAGTTGATATCCATTTCTGCCTGGCTTTTTAACTGCAGTGGTGCCATGTTCCAAGGGGACTGGCATTTTTTTCAGGATTCCTGCACCCCTCAGGCAGCTGATGTGTTCCTGGATCCTGAGTAATGCCTCTCTGGGTATGGCATATGGTCTCAGCCTGACAGGCTTTGTCCCTGGTTTAAGATCTACCAGGACTGGGGGTTGGTTCTTGGCTATCCCAGGTGGGAACTTTTCGACCTACCCTTCTGGAAATGTCTCTAATAACTCTGGGGGGTTTATTTCTTCCTAATCTGCAGTGTGCTGTTTCCATCTGTCCTTTCTGGGGACAGTTACACATGATATCAGTCCTTCTCATGCATACTGTGTTAGATTAGCACCTAACGTGAGGAGGGGTGATAAATTTTATGGGTGCCCTGGGTTTAGTCAGCAAGTCTCTTCCCAGGAAAGAGATAGGGCACTGAGGCAGATACAGAAACTCATGGAACACTTCATGCCCCCCTACCCGCCATAGGTCCATGCTCAGCCAAATGGCCCTGCCATCTGAACTACAGTTGCCTCCAAGATGGGAGCATCTCTCTTGGTGAAGAGGGCTACCAGGGTGGTCACTACAGAACGTTTAGCTCCTGTGATGACCATGAAAGTTATAGATTGGCCCCCAACTATCATTTGGACAGTGGATTCTCAGGGGCCCAGAGTGAGGGAGCCTGGTCTTTCCTAATCTAACTCCATCTCTGCAAGTCCAACCAGGCTAGGCATCAGAGGCTCAAGCTGGTAACAAGAACCAGCACAGCTGGTAGTTAGCTGACTGAGTCCCAGGGGCTTGGGTTGCTAGTTGGGGCCAGTGTAGTCAGAAGCTTTTTGGCTTGGGGCACTTTGCTTTTGGTTGGGCATTCATTTTTCCAGTGTCTGATTTCTTTGCAATAGGTGCAATGGTCCAGGCACAAAGGGGGTCTGTAGTTGATTTCCACCCTGCTTCGTGGTCCGAGCTTGTGAGCAGGATCTGGTCTTCTTTTGTTTTATTTCATTTTCTGCTTCTTGTTGAGCTTTGTGGTCTCAGTTAGCAAAGACTTTTGTGACGACCTCAAGCAGGTGGGTAACATTCATGCTGGTGAACCCCTGGAGCTTTTGGAGTTTATGGCAGAGGTCAGGAGTGGACTGGGCCACAAAAGCAGCATTGACCATGCATTGGTTTTTAGGAGCCTTGGGGTCGAAGGGTGTCAAGATGTGGAATACCTTGCAGAGTCATTCACAGAAGTCATTGGGAGACTTGTCTGTCTTCTGTAGCATGGAGGCAGTCTCAGACATGTTTATTGGCTTTTTGGTAGCAGCATGGACCCATTGCAAGATAGCCCCCTGGTATCTTTCGAGGGCCTCTTGTCCTCCTAGTGTTAAAGTCCCTTTGTGGCCTGGTCTCAGGAACCACCTCCTAGGTACAATCTGCTGGATCTTGGCTAGTGTTTGCCTAACTGTGCAGGTACTTTCTGGCCTTAATGATGATTCTATGGCTCTCTTCAGTGTTGAACAGGGTGTAGAGCAACTGGAGCAGTCATTCCAGGTGGATAGGTGGGTCTGGAAAATGGACTCCTAGAGATCAGTGAGAGCCTGGGGCTTCTCAGAGTATGACAGAGTATGTTGTTTCCAGTTCAGAAGATCAGCTGTGGGGAAGGGCTGGTAGTAGAGAGTGGTAAGCCCAGACTGTACAGTGCTGTTGTCCAGGATGCAGGGTGAAGGCCGGCTCTCGTGAACCAGCATCTGGATAGCTGGGGCTTGAGCCGACCACTAATGCCTGACAAGAGGTGTCTCAGGAAAAGTGATTGTGTTACCATGTGGGATGGTGGAGGGATTGGAGGCTGGAGCCAGGAGAGCAGGTAAAGAAAAGGGCTGGCTGGAGATGGAGATGGACCTGTCAGGGAATTCAGAAGTAGACTGGCTCTTTGAGCAGATGGTGGGTTGGAAGGTGGACTAGCAGGTGGGGCTGGTGGTAGGAAGTTTGAAAGCAGTGGGCTCTCAAGGAGTAGCCAGCAGGTTATGTTTCTGGGACAGATCATCTTATAGAAAAGAAAAACATGGTGTAAGGCAAAGGCCTGTCCTATTGTGCATTATTGCTTCATCATTTCTTCGTCACGTAGGGCTATTATCCCTTTTTACCTAGATTATAATAACTTACTAAGGCCAACTTTGTTTTTCAGGATAAAGTTCAACCCATTCATTGACCTTTCCTAACTCAG